CTTAGATGAAACTATTGTGGAATTTAAGCCAGTCCTTTTTCTTATAGATCGAAAAAGTGTGTGTGTGCGCGACTGAGGGGTGGAGGGGCACCAGGGGGTGGAGCGGTAAACTGAGTGCTCCGGGGAACAACAACAACAAAAAAGCTCATTGATCCATTTTTAGCACCGAGAAATGGATTGCGGGAAGCGTTTGGGAATAGCCCTTAGAGACCTGATCTGGGCACTTTGCAGATGTTACAAATACAGCAGTTCAATGGTGACTTTCAATGAAGTTGATTGAGTTTTAATTAGTTGACGTGTGTCCATCCACATGCTGTTTCTAATTCTTCTAACAAATGTACTATAATAGAGAATACCAAGTTAGTTCTATCTTAAGTTCTAAGACAACAGCCACAGTGGTGTATTGCAACAAAAACAAACCTGAAAGACTGACCAAAATGAAGCTGCAATATGTTCTGAATTTCAAACCTTTGTGTATGATTCAGTTGACTGAAGCTAGCAAAATTCAATCACAAGGAGTCATGAAGTTCATAAAGGGATCCTGGCCACCTCAACTTGCATGACCTGGATGGCCTATAATGTGAGAACTGCCCAAAGTCAGAATGAAAGCCTAATAAAATTGTGTCACACTCCGGCACACTCATTCACTTGATGTTTTTTCCCCCCCCAATGTGTGCTTTATTTATTTATTTTTCAATTTATATCCTGCCTTTTTCCTATAAAGGGCTCAAGGTAGCTTACATCTCCTCCATCTTATCCCCACAACAACAACCCTGTGAGGTAGGTTGGACTGAGAGTCTGTGACTGGCCCAAAGTTACCCAGTTGGCTCCATGGCTGAGCGGGGACTAGAACCCAGGTTGTCTGAGTCCCAGTCCCATGCTCTTAACCACTACACCACACTGGCTTTCTGTATGAACTGCTGCCAAACTTGCAAGAGTGGGTAGAATTTAAAATTATGGGATGTACTTTGGTTCTTTCCTGAGATCCTCCAGCCACATGTGAAATAGTGAACATACTCGTAGGAAGGCAAAACAAGGTTCCTCCTCAGAGCCTGTCCTCAACCCAGGAGCTCCTTTTCAGCTCCAGCGCTGGATCTTGTGCAAGGATCTGTTTCCATACAAATTGTTTCTGCCCAAGCTTTCTCACCTAATATAGGAAGGGGGAATAAAGGTCTATTGTTCTCTCAGTTTTTAAACTATTAGGAGCTGGAAATCTTTGACCTTCTAAAACTCATCTAGAGATCTACCAGTAGATCTACCTTCTGCTAACCCCCTACTGTACCTAACCTCTTATGCAAACTAGGAGCCAGTTTATGTTTGAATTTCCATTGTAAGGTTGAAGCAAATCATGGAAATGCCTGGGATTAAGGTGATGCTGGGCAGTGCAAGTGATGTTGTTTCTGTCCATGATGGTCCATTCACATTAATATTCACAGAACATGCCAGTCTTCTGCCATCTACAATCACTGCTACTGTTTCTGGTCTTAATTCAATGTGCTGGTTTTGACTTCACACCTCTAAACATTTTGGGGATTGCTTTCTCATCCAAGTGCCTCCATCAAGTGTCCCTGCCAAATGGAGTGAGTTGGGTGGCTATTAGAGACAGGGCCTTTTAACTGGTGGCACCCTCTGTATGAAGTGCCCTCACTTGGTGCCATAGTTCTGTTCTTACTGCTGAAGACCGTTTTAGACCCAAACTCCACTTTTTATACCCAAAGTTCACCATACAAGCCTATAAGATCTTTAGAAGAGTCCCTTCTCTGGAGACAGCCACCATCAGAGGTGTCTGTGGTAGAGATGTGAAAGAGGGCTTTGCATTGGCCACTCCCCAGGTGGAACTTCCTTCTGAGCTAGAGTTAGTTTGCTCCTCTGTTAATCCTTCTGCCAGCATGGAAAGGCATTTTTATGCAAGCCGGCCTTTGGCATCTAAATTGGCTTGTTGAGCTGGATGCTGATTTTATTCTGTTCCTGTTGTGCCTTTAATTGTGTTTCAATTCATTTGTTTTCTGATTGTGTTAATCAGGCTTTTATTTGTGATTGTAAGCTGCCTTGAGTGTCTTAGTAAAAAGGTGGCACAAAAATGAAACAAATGACTAATCAATAAAAGTTATTTTCTCAGTCACTCTTTAATTTTTGTTGCTGGTTTTACTTTGGCTTCATTGCATTATATACTGCGTTGTTTTTCATTCTGTGTTGTTGGTTTTATTATGTGCTGTTTAAATTGTTTTACTGGCTTTTATATTCTTGATTTACTTCTCCCAGTTAACTGGCCCTCTAAATGTGTAGAAAAACATAGGTAACAGCAATATTTATACTAGGCGTGTAATTTAACTAAGCAATTCTGCATTGAAAGCACAATCCTATCCTGGGGACCATAGAATAGGCCAAAATCCTGGCCCCACCCTTGGAAGTTTCTTCTGAGATCAGAGCTGGGGCTTGCAGACAGTGCTGTTCTTTCCACACTGGCTAGGCTCCAAAGATGCTCTTCCATCTTTGGAGCCAGTGTGCAGGAGGGGTGCATTCTGAGGGGAGGGGAGGAACAAAGCACTGTCATTCTCTGAGGAATCCTGGTGCTGCCCCAGCATCTCCCACTATCAGCCATTTAAGTGTTTTGAAGGGTGAGGAGAGTGTAGAAGCAAACCTAGCCTCTGTGTTCCTCCTGCCTTCCATTGGATGCTGCAACCCTCTAGTTCATGGGTCCTCAAACTATGGCCCACGGGCCAGATCCAGCCCGCCATGCCCATTTATCTGGCCCCCCATAGAAGTTTTGGACTCGCCACACGCATGTGGCTTGCTCGTGTGGAGATCGTTTTGGACTCGCTCGGCAAAAACAATCTCTCTGTGTGCCTGCCTCACTGCGTGCGCACGCATGCCCCCCCCCACCCGCCCGCACTGGCTTGGCAGCCCACGCCCATCGCCAGCACCTTTCAACTGGTCCCCTGTTGAAACAGTTTGGGGACCCCCTGCTCTAGTTGAAGGTGTTTTGGAAAGCCACACTTGATGGTGCCCTGAGTTGGATTTTCATGAACAATTACTCCTCTGAATGGACACAGTGATTGTTTTGTACATTTAGGCTTCAACTGAATGGTTGCCAACTACATTTTTTGCATGCCATGTGCAATCAACCCTACTGTTTACATTTTTCACTCTTTTCATCTCTGTATGCCTGGACCCTGCCAATTGAGGATAACATTTCATGTATCTGATGACTCTGATCCTTAATCCATCAAAACTGTGGTCATAACCCATTTTTAACATTTCACAATTTTGATTTTCATTGTAAGAGACAACAAAAAGAATATTTACAGCATAATCCTATTGTTTACTCCAAAGTAAATCCTGTTGAGTTTGACGCAAAAGACTCATAGGTGAGGACTGCATCCTTCATATATTTTGGTGGAATAGGCCTTTAGTTATCCATGAGCATAGATTTTGTTTTCCCAGAGCCTTTTAAAAAGAGTGATTTTATTATCCTCAAGTTTGCATATAAACAGACATGTTTACTTGTAGCTCTGCATGGAAAAGAGTAAGAGACTTTCTTGGAAAAATATTAAAGAAAATCTGTGTGTAGTTAATACTACTGGGGTGGTGCACATTCCAAAAGCTCCCTGTGGCCCCAAGTTTTGAATTTAACTAGCGATTCAAAGGATTTTCACCACTAATCTCCAAAGAACATTTGCAGCAGTGGTGTGGGCCAAGGTTCCATGTTGTATGTTAGTTCCAACTACTTGATTTAGAGATATAGTACATTGATTTTTATTTCATGTTCCCCAGGGCTTATTGCAAATATATGAAGATTGAAAGGGAGGGAGATTTGGGTGTTCTGCCTCAGGGAAAAAATGACTTGGGCTGGTACAGTGGTTGGGGTGAGTCTCATAAGAAAAAGGGGTTCTGCAAAAAGAGTAACCTACAAATGAGGCCTGCAACAAAATGTTACAGTGTAGAGTTTTGCATTCAGCATTGCACCCCCAAGTCTCTCTGTTTTTCTCCAACCAACAGGCCGGATTTAATGGCAATTGAACATATTCAATCTCCACTAGGGTTGATTATTCTGGGTGGGTTGGTGGGATGAGGCATTCTTCCTAAAGATTTGTGGTGGAGGGTCTACAAACCATGGGGTTTCCAAGCTTACTAGTACCTCCCCCTTCTGCATGACCTTGCTGTTTTAGCTACTCACTACTTGATCACTATTTCCTGCAGAATATCAGGTTCTAACCTTGCCTTCTCTCAGAGATGCTAAATGCAAGGAACTTCTTCTGATGGTAGAGCATTTTCTCACTGAAGGAAATGAAGTTCTTTTGCTGAAGTCTAAAATAGTACAGTGCAGACATGAAGTTGGCCTCCTCCAGGAGAGCTTGACTTCAAAGACTGCGAGAAGGTGGCTGTTTGCCTGCCCACCAGTGCCCAAAGAGGCTCCACCTGACTTGTGCAAGTCCATGAACAAACGCTTCCCATGGGCCAGCATTGAAACGTTTGTTGTCTTGAAAAGCTTGTCATCTCTGATCTTTGGTCCTGGCCAAAGAGGGCAATTCGTACTGTCACTCAGCATTCTCAGCCGAGGGCTGATGCGAACTGAAGTTCAGAACATGTGGAGGCCAACCAGTTGGAGGAGGCTGTTGTACCATCACACTGGGAATCCTTGGTATTCTCCACAGAACCAGTACTGGAAAATAATGGATGCTTCAATAGATGGAGCTTTAGATTGTGTTCAGGAACATGTTTTCTGTCCTGCCACTGATGAAATGGGTGTTCCTCTCTGAGCAAAGCTTGTACCATTTTGATGGTATTCAAGTGTTTGGTTGTCCTGTTTTTGGGAGTCAGGCAAATTTCAAAAAGGGCTGCCAAGTTCAATCCAAACCTCTCTGTGTTCTAGCAAGGCTGCAGTTGCCTGTGGATGTGCATTGAGATATGCTGCACAAAAGTTTGGCCTTGCTGGCATTTGTCCTAACTGTTACTGCAGCCGAGCTCTCTTCCCTTCCCTACTTTTTCCTCTCCGTCAGAGCAAGCTCCACATGGAAGGTTTCCGCAGCCTGAAGGAAGGAGAGGCTGTTGAATTCACCTTCAAAAAATCCTCCAAGGGTTTGGAATCCATCCGAGTCACTGGCCCAGGGGGTGTGTTCTGCATCGGCAGCGAGAGGAGACCGAAGGGAAAGAACCTCCAGAAACGCCGATCAAAAGGAGACAGGTAAGGCTTGTTCCAGACCCAGGATTCAAGGATATGAATGGCTTTGTGGGAAACCACCCGCCACCACACTTGGGGCTCTCTGAGCCGGAGGCCTGGTTCTGTGTACCTGCTGCATGCTGGCTTTGTTGGGCAGTGCTCAAGAACACTGTTCTCCAACCTGGTGCCCTCCCAATCTGCAGGACTACAACTCCTGTCATGCCCAGCCAGCATGTTGGGAGGCATAGCCTGGGACTTCTAACGCTCTGCCTCTGAGCCATGGTCCCTCCCTGAGCCATGGTCCCAGCTACCAGTTCTTTATTGTAGGATGGGACTATGCATAGAAATGATTGCATGCCCATGTACAGAATCTTGATATAATTGTGGTGGAAGCCTCATGATACCTAGCTCACAGATTGCCTTCTTGCTCAGTTTTCCTCCCTTGCAGCTTTTCCCAACCCAGTGCCCTCCAGCTTTTTTGGGCTGTATCTCCCATCATCCCTGACCACCTGCAGTTTTTCAGGGGCTGGCAGGAATTGTAGTCCTGAATGCAAACACACTCAAGTTTTAGCTTGGCTGCTGTGCCATGCCTGGCATCCTGGCTTTTCTTCAGATGAGGAGCAGCTGGAGGTCGTTTCTTTAAATAAAATGTTCCCCTGTGCCTTTTTACAAATGGAGTGGCAGATACAAATTTTCAGAGCAAAAGGTCAGAGGTCAGAAACCCCTGGAGCTGAACGGTATGGACCCATGCCTGCGTTCTGTGTGCATGTGATTCCAAGATGGCATCCTGTGGCCAGTGAGTTGGTTCCTTACCCCTTGGTGCATGCTACTCAGAAACAAGAAGAAGGGACACTCGTGGAGTCTTCCCACAGCAGGGCATATCGGGGGGGCACCTGATACATGTACCTCTGGTCTGTTTAGCTCAGTATTGACACATCTGGATGGTGCCTGTCTAAGAACCTTAAATGCATGACTTGCTCATTCGTGTTCTTTTATTGCATGTGGTAGGAAAGTAAGGTTGAGAGAACATGCACATGCAAAGTTTGGACTTTATCATGGAGTTGTAGCCCCTTCCTCTTGAGGAGTGGGTCCCTGTCAGATGGTGCAGAACAAAATGGTCATAAATCAGCCTCTCCCAGCCTGTTGCCCTCCAGATGTGGTGGACTACAATTCCCATAGTTCCCTGTCTACCTTAAGTCCTCATCTTATCTGCCTTAAGTCCTCATATATATATGCCCATATATATCTTGCATTCCTGCAGGATGCAGTCAGCTGGATCTGGTTGGTAGCAGTGTGATGGCAGAGCAGGAGTGCCCCCTAGTGGGGGTTTGTATGCACTCTTCACACACAATAAACACAGATGTGCCTATGCTCCTGCTTGGCGAAACATGATGTAGCCACATCCAAGATGACATGCATTCTGCTTCAGTTTTGAGTTCAAGACTTGGAATTTTTTATTATTATTAGAAGTGAGAGAAAATGGAAAGTGAAATAGTCTCAGATATAGGGACTAGAGAGCTTGCAGGAAAGGGGGGTGTTTCTCATGCAGGAATGGTACAGCAGGCTCCTGATTAGTATGTAGCAGCATTTTATACATGGAACCACATGTGTGTTTTAAGAGGACTTTGGGCAGAAACCAGCACTCAAGCTAAGCTAGCTGAGGCACTAGGGTGAGGGTGGGGAACTTCGAACTAATGGACCAGGCTTGCCCACCAGGGCCTCTCCCCAGAGCTCTGCTCCCTCAGAAAAAAAGAGAAGGATGGAGAGCAATCCAGTTGCCTTGCTCTTCCATCACCTTCCCTGTGCAGAAGAACAGAGGCAGCATCAGTCAGGGGCCAATCTGGTCCACGAAGGCAAAAAGTTTCCTTCCTGCAGTCTATAGGATATGGTTGAAGTCCGTGGTCAGCCTAGCCATGCTTCTCCAGTAGGATACATGTATTCCTCTGGCCCCAGCCAAGTCCCTCAACCACTTGGTGTGTTCCCAGCTTTTGCAGGGATCTTTTTCCATTCTAAAGCGTTGATGATCTTCTTAGTTACTGGCAGTGCATTGGTATTTTTGATAATTTGGCTCTGATCTGATTTGCCTTCAGCTTTGCTGGAAGGCAGGTTCCCAGCAGCTTCTTTGCAACTGAATTCATCCTACTGGCTGAAAGTAATTCAGTCCACCCGATTCATTGAATTAGTACTGTCTGTTGTGGTTTGATTGTGGTAGTTTTTTTTCCCTTTGAAAAGATTCCACAGAGGCTTCCGGAAGCCAATAGCAAGGTATCTTAACCAGCTCCCTGTTCTCTTCTCTGCTTTTTCTCTTTCCCAGATGCTACAACTGCGGTGGCCTAGATCATCACGCCAAAGAATGCAAGCTCCCTCCACAGCCCAAGAAATGCCACTTCTGCCAAAGCATTGCCCACATGGTGGCCAACTGCCCCGTCAAAACACAGCAGTCGCCCAGTTCTCAGGGAAAACCCGCCTACTTCCGGGAGGAGGAGGAAATGCACAGCTCACCCCTTCTTCCTGAAACCAGGGAATAATGTTGGGGTAATCAAGAGGGGGATCAACTGGATTGGCAGGCTTCAGGGCATCAAGTCAGCAAAACGGGGAGCAGCAAACAGCTTTGTCCTCCAGCTTTGGAAGGGCAGGCACTGGGCAGGAGGCAGCAGCTGATAAAACTTGTAAGAGCTCAGGAGAGGGAATTATCAAGGGGGGGTGGATGTGGATGCCCCCCCCACCCTTGTTTCAGCTTGGGATGAGGTCTACAGATCTTGTCCCTTCCTAAGATATGGAGGTGCAGGAAGTTCATCTTTGTATTTGGCAACAACCTAAAGACATCTTTTTTAAAAAAGAAGTTGAAATATTTGGATCTCAGTGGCCTGGTTTACATGTAATGAGCAGCCACATGGCTAAATTTCCTTATAGGTGGCAGCTGCCATCTTGATTATTTGGGACATGGTGAGGACACACTGTAGCTTATCTTGTGCAAGCCCAGCAGTGGGTTCTTGGGATGGCTGACAAGCCATCCACAGGCCCTAAAATACTCCATGGGTTCTGACTGGTTTGTCAGCCCACCCCAACCCACACCTACCAGGTTCAAGTGTAATAGCACACTATGGTACTCTTCACTGTAGCTTGAAAATTCAAAATGGCTGCTATGAAGAAAGGCCCTTTGGTTTCTCTCTACATGTGAACCACAATGTACGGACAATATTTGTGCATATGGATCAGGCAGCTGAGTTAGATCATTTTTCCTGGTCCTCCAGCTCTGTTTGTGACTGTATTTCAAAGAAAATATGGAGGAGAAAGCAGTGGCACCAGTAACTTTCCTTAACCTGGCACCTGTCACATGCATTGTACTACAACTCCCACCATCCCTGGCCATTAAATACTGGGTTGATGGGGAACTGTAGTCAGTATATCTAGAGGGCATCTGATTGGGGAAAGCGGCTATGAAGCACACACACTCAACATTTTGGTCTCTAAAAAGACCAGAAGGAATGCTACCTCACTTCCAGAGACTTCAAGGCATAAGGAATAGAGATGATTATTCAGAAGCCTTTCAAGACTTTGGGGACCACAGAAAGTAAACAATATTGTGGCATCTATGTGTTTCCACTTGGGTACGATTGCCATAGTTAGACATTAGGGGCTAAAACTTGCCCTGTCTCTTCACACTAAGATTTGGATTGTCTGTGTGGAAAGCTTTGGGCTGTAGCCATATGCAGAAATGTTGATTATTTTGTGTGCTGCATAAATGCAGTTTTTTTAAACCAAAACAAAAAAAGTTTTCCTCCTGGCCAATGTTTCAGTAAGCCTAAAGCCTAGATCTGGTATTGCCTTTCTTCGGTGTAGCAGTGTTCCTTTATACATACACCTTTGTGTGGTTGCCCTCCTCCACCCATGAATTTGGCTTATTGTTGAGACTTTGGCACTCCCAGAAGCCTCATGGAGAATCCAGCACCTGATCCAAATACTCAGTTTAAGCACAAAGGCTCTGAATTTGAATCTTCCCAGTTTTTCTTCCAAAAGCCACGATCAGGGGAAAGCTGCTGCTCCTTTGCCCTGCCAGGTTTTCCTACTTCTGCCTTTTAATTTATTTTGTCCCCGCAGACAGCTGGACTTGCCATGCAAGCCATGGGAAGGGGGAGTAGGCCTTCCCCTCTGCTCTGAAGCCGCGATGTGAACCTGCACTACGACGTGCGTGTATGACGTATCTTTGGGTTTGTTTTTCTTTTCTTTTGGATAAATGTTCATTGGTCATTGTTGTTGGGGTTTTTTAAGTATAAATATTCTGTTTTGTATTTTTGTATATTGTAATCTTTAAGAGGAAAAAAAGGAAGAAAAAGAAGAAAAAAAGAGGACATGATTACTGCAATGTATTCTCAGGTATTCTTGCACATCTCAGGGATAGAACCTCAGCAGTCGCTGGGGCTGAACAGAATGGAACTGTGTGACTTTTTACCATTTTCAGAGTTGTTCAGTTTCACAGCACAAAGAATCAAAAGCAACAAGACTGTGTTTTTGCTCTACCTTGCTGTTTCTAAGTGTGGATAGAACAATGTTTGGGGTCACTGTTTTTGAACACATTTCTTCTTTCCCCTCTTGTTGGATTCACGCAGAGATGAAAAGATTTGGGGCATAATCTGGTTAGAAACTTGCCTCTGCAGTGTCACCCTTGTCTCCAGACAGTCGAGGGTTTCCTTCTGAATTTTGCCCACAGCTGACTTAGTTTAGGGCTGCTGAACTTCATTGAGTCTGAGGAGCTGAATTCAACTTTAGGCAAGTTGGGGGGGGGGATGCAAAATGGAACAGCACCAAAAACAGAAACCGCTAGACCATTGGCTGGGATAAAGAGGGAGGGCGGCCATCTAGCCCCAGGTGTTCTGAATTTGGTGTGCTGGCCCGAGGTTCAGCAACCCTATTTCAGCAGCCAATAAGTACAGCCATTAGCTACCCAGCTTGTCTTCACCAGTGTTCCCATGTCTGGGCAATGCCACACTTCATCTCTCTTTCCAGAAACCCACCCATCCTCAAAATTCTCAGCTTTTTCTCACCTGGTAGCCTCTTCATCAGAATCACACACCTTTCTTCTTTTGTCATGGCAGGTAAGAGTCAGATAGCTTTCTCTGTGGTCAGATGAGGTGGCAAAATTGGGTGCTGTTGTTGGGTGAGTAGAGTGGGAGACAGACAGATCTAGCCTAAAATCCATCAGGAAGTTCTGTGGCATAAACTGCACAGAACCATATCTGCTGTGCTCTTGCAAAACTTGCTCAGTGAAGGCTGGCATGGAAGATCCTCTCTGGATTGTGTCCCACATGAATTTAGTGTAAGGGCTAGAATATAATTTGAATGCCTTCAGCTGGTATTTCATCTTTACCCGTGTTTCTTCTCTCTTGTCCTTCTGTGTCAGCTATGCCTATGTTAGCCAGGATTTCTGATAGAAACATATCATCTGAACAAAATGTATTGTGGCATAAGCTTTCATGGACCCTCCGGATAAACTTATGCCAAAATAAAATAATTGTTCTTTAAAGTACCACATGGCTGCTGAATAGAGCCCCTTGGGAATCAGTGATTATGGTCCAATGTGTTCTTGACCTTGTAGCCCAGTCCCATTTGATGCATTCCAGCTTTTCTACAAGTTACTGTGGGAAGCTAAGCCAATATTGTGCCCCTCATGTTTATACTGCGAGCAATTTGTTAACAGAATTCCATTTAGCCTTCAGGTGCTGAGAGCCTGGAAGAGCTGAGACAGCTTTGCAGAGCCAATGAGGGAAAGTATACCATTGCTGGAAAGGACAGGACCAGAATGGAAAGGACCAGATGCCTGTTGCAAAGAGACACACTTTGCGGGCAGAAAGGTACCCAATGTCATGAACAGGAAGTCCCATCACAACTGCAGGATTTCTCTTCCTCACAACAGCTTCTGAGCAGTCCCCCACAACCTCATGCCCACCAAATGTGCTTCTGCCATCCCTAGTAATGTTGGCTAGGAATGGTGGGAATTGTAGTCCAATATGTCTAGAGGACATCAAGTTAGGAGTGACTAGCTTAAGGGTTACTTTGCTCAGTGGAAGGCCAGCTTCTTCACCTGGGTGCCCTGCAGAGGCTTTGAACTAGGAACCCCCATATTCCCTGAGGATTGGCTGTAATGACTGGGGCTGGTGGGAGTTGTAGTCTGACACATATGTAGGGCACCAGACTGGGGAAAGCTGGTGCAGGGCCTGCAACTTGGCCAGTGATGGCAAGCAATATCCCCGGGCACAGATACCACTTTTAAGTCCTCCATAGTAGTTGAGATATCAGCCATATCAAGATGTGGGAAAAACCAAGGTATTTTGTAGGGTGAAGTGGAGTCAGATCTCCCCTATCTTGGGATCAGAGGTCAAGCTTTCTCCATCTGTTGAGCTATGAACTAGTGACAGATACTGGAAATTATATAAAAATCAAAGAGAAACATAGATTCTTGATTAATCTTCACAGCATCATCTATCTGCCTCAGAGTATATTTTCCTTCCAAAGAGTCCAGTGCATCGAATAATTAGCTGTATGTCCATTTCTAAATGGACTGATTGCCAAATAGTTTGTGTCTGCATATTTGTTTTTAAATCACTGAAAGATGTCTTATGCAACCTGGTACCTTCCAAATACTTTGGATAATACTACCTCTAGTTCTTTGCCTTTGGCTATCCTGGCAGGGGCAGATGGGGGTTGTAGTCTAAAACATCTGGAGGTACTAAGTTGTCCATCCCACCTTGTTGAATTGACTGCAAATATGTTGCTAATGAAAGAAAATATTTGCTTCCTGCCAAGATCTAAAAGGACTGGAAGCTATGGAGCCCAAAGCTGTGGAATTTGAGAGAGCACCAGCAACAGGTAACCTTTGCCTGTAGTGGGGAGTGCTGTCCATTTCTTGAACTTGCAGCAGGTGGTGGAAATTTAGATCAGACATTGTTGTGGGGATCTTTACCATACCTACCTCAGGATGTCCCCATACCAATGGGGCCCAATACAATAGATACTGCCTGCTCTAGGTTGATTGTGAAAGGAAAGCTTCCCTTCCCCAGGGTGTGTCCAAAGTGTGAAAATGCTTCCCCTTCTAGTTTTGTACTGAACTTTAAATAAATAGAATAATAGCCAAGCAGCATTGTTTCCCCCGCCTCCCTTCTAGATGTTAGGATGTGTAAAGTGTAGCATTTGTAAATCTTTCAGGTTTCTTTCCAACTTCCTCTGATGATTGTTTACAAACTTAAAAGAAAAATAGCCAAAGCATGCAATGGGCATTTGCACCAGAATATGGGGGGTAGAGAGCAGGTGGGAATACCCTCTTTGTACCTTACCACTTAGCAACACTGCCATAGAAGAGCTGGTTCAGGTGCCTGCTTCCCATCTCTTCCTACAACTGGGACCACTGGATTCTGAAATAACAGTGATATATCTGTAAGCCATGTTGGCTGAATAGGAAAATTGTACCCTTGGCCCTCTTCCAACCTTCCCTAGCCTGCTGCTTGGCAGAGGGGTGAAGAATGCAGCTCTC